TATTTGAAAATGTTGTATTTTATAGAATGGTCCCGCTTGCATTACAAGTTCATCGAGTTGGGCATGGGACAGGAGCCAAACAATTGATATCTCATCCTAGACGCAAAAATAAAACTTTACCGCCTATCGAAAAGAACAAACAGCTAATGAAATATGCACATGAGCCATTAAAAACAATTTGCTGCGGATCAAGCGACTGCATTTGTGCAGACCAGTGCGCAGTATTTTCAACACACCAGTGCGGATGGAATTCGATTTCCAGTATGGATGCCAATGTCTAGAACGTTCAAATACAAGTAGGCCGTCTTACTTTTGATCCAGGTCTTTCGTGATGAGTTCCGAATAAAGTAGGTAAATCTATTCAAAGTTTTAGACATGGCGTTTGTGGGGATTTTTTATCAGGAAGGAGTCACATTTGGAATGACGTCAGATGGTCAGCAGTGTGCTTCAAAAAACCAAGTGTGCAAGTCAATGTAGTGGCTTAAGGCTTATGTACGATGGTTCATCATGTGCTGGTCGTAGTTTGGAAGCGTCCAAACGATAATGATTATGTCCAAGATAGAAGAATGGATCTACAGTATTATAATGACGTAGGCCTCGATCGATTTCTCCTACTAGATGTGACCTTTCATGCCCAGTAGAAGACACTTGGTTCGGCAGTGGCGCATCGACATCAAGGCTCCGTACATGCGATGGCAGTAGTCGCAAGGTTCTACACGATCGAAGACTTGAAGACTGACTGACGCCCCTGGGCCCTACTGAGCTACCGTATGTGTAAGCCTACTTGGCTCTCATAGCACAGTACAAGTCACAACCAGCCAGAATTGAATTGAATGCGACCTCGAATGACAGACGACCTTCTGTCAGAATTCCTATATCGTATGCAATCAGTTGTGAAGCATTATGAAGACGGCACACACTGTAGGAGCTTTGCTTTCTTTCCATCTTCAGGAACCTTCAGTGGCTACGAAACCCATACATTCCAACAAACAGGATGGCATGAGATGAATGCTTTTACATTACATCCATCGGGCATAAACTATAAAGTATTATCATGGGTGAGATTGGCTACAAGAAACAAACAAATCTGGAGAAACAAACTCAAACTCCAGTACAGCATTCGAAACTGTTTCAAACCGTAAAAAACACAAGAAATATTGTCTTATGGATTTTGCAGAACTCGCAGCGTTGGATATGATTGCAGCAAAGATGACAGCTTTTGGACCAGTATTTTTTCAGTACATGACATCATTGGAAAGGAAATCTTGCCTAGCATTTATTGCACAGAGCTTATAGAGCTCACCCCAGGCCTACCAACAGACCTGTACTCATATGAAGACTTCGTGTATTCAAGTATTTGATGACCCTTAGACATTTATTTTTTGTACGTATGTCTTCTAGCCTTGCTCCTCCAAAACTCATTTTATTTTTCCCACACCCAATCTCGACCTGACTCCAGTTTGTATTGTCGCACTTTGCACGAACATCGTGTTGTGAACTACGCATACGAACGGTTCAGTGGTGCTGTTGAACCCGCAAACACGAGCACAAGATAAGGATGGGACAATGGAACTTCAAAAGAACTTGACAGATTCCACGTTCATAAATGCATTCGAGGATCGTTGTGTGAGGAGCAGAGGAACACTGTTTCTCATCTTCGGCTAAGAACTGCGAAGGATTGTCGTCTGCATGTCACCTCTTCTTCAAAACGCACTGTGCATGTCTATGTTCCATGGAGATGCACCAATCGTAAGGAAATCGAGTACTTCGTACCTTTGAGATATCTATGTGCAACATCATACATAAGCCGTTGTGCATGCTTGGCCTCTAGAGTTATGCCAGTGACAATATTGTGCTGTACAACAAAAATGTTATCATTATTGCTACGACAGGGAGCTCTTTAAAGTGACCGTCCACGTCTAATGTAGATTAAGGTCTTAGTGTACGTGTTGCATGAATCTCACCTATCATGTAACTTTTTGCCATATTACTCGTTGAACCCCCATCACATAACTTGCTGACGTTCCTTTGTCGTATGACCAGACAGAACAAACACTCGGAACTTTGTTTGATAGACGAAAACGAGGGGGGTAAAAAGGGAAAAATAAATAAAATGCCTTCCTTAGAATCCGAATAGTGAGTCGTAAGCCAACACATCATTTCATTTCTTGTGATGTCCTTTCGCAGCAGGGAACTCGTTTCCACATCATTAAAACTTGTAGTGCCGATCGAACCTTGAGGATCGAAGGAAGTTCACTTATCTGCGTAAGATTATATATAGAAATTATTAAATATTTTCTAGAAATATGTCTCTGATATCAAGAAAAATCGCGAAATATTTAAAGGGTCAGGTATCATCTTCATACGGAGGACGAGCAGAAGTACCTGTGAGATGCGGAGAGAAGATGTCCTTGAAGCTTGTGATACTTACACCACTCGCAGGCCTAGGCATGCAGTCTTCAGACGGTGAGTTTCTCGTATTTATTGGCCCGTTCGTTGGATGCATTAATATCTCTTACAAATCTATGACGAAGATTCCAACTGCAGCCCCTTGTAGTACAGTATGAGCCTCTAGCAGCGAAGGTCGTAAGCACACAACTGGTGGACCAAAGTTCCAGTATTATCAGAAGCTCGAGAACCCGGAGACTCATTTCCCTTACTCCCTCATGGCATCCGTGCTACTTCTCCTTCTACTGTACCTACAGTCCCTGGAACATTGTTATCTCGAGAACATGTCGACTCGTAGCGGACATACTGTTCTACCCTCGCCGTCCATGAGCTGAGTTGATGCCTGCTTCAAATCTCTCTGCAGATTCCTTGCTGCTTGGATCTGGTCCTTCGTACTGATCCTCTCTTTCTACACTCTCCCATGCACAAGCACATGCACCCTCGAGTCCTGATCCGGTGTCAAGGTGGACTTGAAGTTCGTTCTCTTGGTCAAACATTTTTTATGACAAAATCTGATCAAATCGACGAATATTTGTTGCCATGGTTTTTGCAAGAAAAAGTTGGAATACAAGTGAAGTGGCAACAAGGATGGGAAGACCTCATCAAGTCCTACAAATTTATCAAATGATGGGTTTTGCTGGCAAGAGGGGACATGTGCTTTCATCTAAATGACCAACGTTTCCAATGATTTCACTTGTGGCTTCACACTTTCTTAAGTGAAGGCAGCTGTATATCCACTTCCTGGATCGTCGTAGAGTATATTATGGAAATCACATCTTACAGGAGATGCAGACGAAGGGTGAGGCCCTGAAAATGAATAGAGAAACACTATTAACCCATATTGGTTTTGAGTATATTTAATGTAACCCAATATTGTAGTATAGCCATCCATAAGCAACAAATATTAAACGTTCTTCATAACTATCTAAAACTGCAATTTATGGATTATTTTCAACAACATTTTATATACTCTTGGATGAACTGCTGTTATCAAGAACACAGTGTGTTTCAACAAACTTTATAATGATTTACAATTGATTCACCTGAAGCATCAAGGTTTTTTTTAAAAAAATCATTTAATCTTAACGTAATCTTTTATGATGTGATTATTGTGAATTTTGTTTCATTGGATCTTGTTGGATCATTTTTTTCAAATGATTAGTTCATGAAGCACACATTTAAAAAAAAAAACAAGGATTAGTTCATATTATGACTGATATAAGCTACATACACAAAATAATCTTCATAAGTTGTTCTTTAGCTATTAAATTAGAAATTATTTTCTGTATCTACTATACTTTGAATTTCAACACTTACACATCAATGAACAAATATCTTTGAATGATGTGATTTACAATTAAGCCTTTTCATTTTATCATTAAATCATGCACATTATAGATTCAATTGAAAACATAAGAAAATGTTAATTTTACATTAATAAATAATATTTTGAATATTTTTTTAAGATAAATTCTTGTTTTCTGGGATTGAAATTTTTTTCTCCTGATATTTAATTTTTAACATCTGTAGTTTATCTTGATTTTCTTTAGGTAATCTTATAGTGAAAGATAAAATTGTTGTTATAATTTTTGCAATAGAAGTCCACAAAATAAATTTAACTTAATTGACATGCAATGTATTACTCAATCAAAATTTATCTGCTTGATTATTAATTTCTTTTAAAGAAGATTAAATTACATCAATTAAATAATTATATTATATACACCAAATCTTTTAGCAGTTTGACAACATTCATCATAATTTAAGCTTTTTGAAATTAAATATTAAGATATATCTATTGAAAAATAAAATATGTCATTAATTTTCTACGACAGTAAATAGTCTCATATATGAATATGTATATGTCAAATTAAGATAACTATATTCGTCAATGTGAGGTGAATTTTTAAGCACATTGTGCTGTAATGTGTATGATTTGAGTAATAAAGTTGATGTATACATCAAAACTTTTAATTGACAGTAACGGAAAGACTTGATATTGTTTACATTCTAAACTTAATGTTCAATGAATTTGAATCAACACATACATAGAGATTATCATATTATATATATATATATATATATATAGAAAAAAAAGAGTGAAAATAAGTGTTCTTCTGAATATTTACAATGATGACTATTAAAAAGTTGTGAAAGTTTTTACTTTAATTTTTTACATTTATTTATTGAAAAATTAGATAGTTTTCATATTTACTTTTTATTTGTAACACTAGGGTTTAGAGAAAAGTTCACTTGAAGATAGAAACGTAAACTCTGAAGATGAGAGATATCAATAATGGATATCCTTTCCCTTATACAATCATACCATCCTAATTTAATCCTCTATAACTTGATAATTCTCTAATTTGATAGAAAATCTGAGGAACCGACTCCGTGAGTAAGGATAATTTGATATTTGATACTTGATAAAGAAATTTTGAATATCAAGTTAACTTTTATTAATGAAAAAACGCATCCAAGGTGGTTTGGGTCACTTCCGATGCTTTGGCGGCGCACAACTCACGCTACAGGGTGCGTAGTAGAGTATAACATTAGGCATGGGAAGGATTGCTGAGACTGAGGAGTTTCATTACTTCCGTCAAGTAAGATAACTTTTCTTTAGTGGTTTTCAGAGGCGGGTCCGTGACTTGATCTTCTTCTGGATCTTCTTCTTCTGTTGATTCGTTGCTCAACATTTGCACCAGCTCTTCATCTGTGAGGTCTTCAAGGGAGCTCTCTTCTTCGCCGGCAGGTTTAATGAAGTCCCTCACAGGCATTGGTGCGGCAACGCACATAGCTTGTATGCCGGCAGCGATCTCATGCTCAATAACATCTGCTTCCACATCAGTGACATCCTCATTCTCATGAGCCTCTGGAGCGACTTGGAGTGCATTCATAACATGATCTAAGTGAGATATCGTGTGCAGAGGTCTACTTACCTTAGCATGCCGAAAGCAATTGTGGATGGTAACAGGAGTGATTTCATTCCAAGCTGCTTTTGCCCAATCCATAGTTGTCAATTGGTTCAATTTGTAAAGATCAGTGACGCCGGCTTCTTCAATGTCAATTGCTCGTCGGATGTAAAGTCTTCGATATCGCCGCTTGAATGCAGCAATTATTCCAGCGTCCATAGGTTGCAGCTTTGAAGTGGTATTTGGCGGCAAAAGTAAGACCACGATGTTCTCAAGTTCCACAGAAATGTGACCTGACGCGTTGTCCAAGAGGAGCAGAATTGACCTGTTGGCTTCTTTCATCTTGGCGTCAAAATTCTTCAGCCATTTTTGGAATAGCATTCCAGTCATCCATGCCTTTTTGTTATTCCGGTACAAGAACCCCAGTTGTGAAGCCGTCTTCTTCTTAAAGCATCTCGGCTGCTTGGCGTGGCCAATGAAAAAGTGCTCCAGTTTGTGTGATCCGTCTGCGTTGGCTGTAAACGCTATTGTGAACCTTTTCTTGCTCATTTTAAGACCTTCAAGCTGATACTGAGCGATTGTCCGATCCGGTGCGTATTCGTAAAAGAGCCCGGTTTCGTTCATATTGTAGACGTCCGCAGGCTAAAACGATGCAACCTTATGTTGTATCTCCTCAAGGTTGGTAGCCACATCCTACATGTCGAGAGAGCTGCTCTCTCGATTCATCTTCACTGAGTGAAGATGATTGCGGGAAAGAAACTTCTGCAGCCAGCCGTTGGAAAACTTGGTAGCTTATAAGTTCAATAGTGTTTGACTTCTCGATGATCACAACATAAGTGATTGCGACCTTCTTGTGCTGGCATTGAAGTACCTAATTAGATAGCGCTTCTTCCACCTGCGGAAACTTGACCTTCCTTAGACGCTTGTTTTGCAGTTCCGCCCCGCTTATACTCTCAAAGGTTCTTCTCTTGTTGAGAACATTTGAGATAGTGGACTGCGAGGGCAGTTTCTGAAGCTTGAAGCTGTTCATGGCCCATTCTTGCAGCTTGACTTGCTTCAGAGAGGGATTCTTCAAGCTATACTGGCAGAGCTGAAGCTTCTGTTCATTGTTCATGATGAAGATTTTGGATCGCGGAGTGCTGCGGCCCTGAGTGCGGCGGCGTTGCGGGGCCGACACCGAACCTGGCCATGGCGAGACAATGACACACAATCACGGCAGTTCGGAGTTTCATTTTCTATTGTACCTCATTAACTTGATACCTCTCTAATTTGATAAAAAATCGGAGAACGGACCGTATCAAGATAGAGAGGTATGATTGTATAGCTCTCAACAACAAGTACAAGAAGATAAGATGTTATACATACCATACATCCCACTCATAGTGGATGAATGACATGACAGATAACCCTAATAAGCACACGGATCGCTGACGTGGCGCTGTCAACTAGCACACCTACTCTCTATCTACCAAGCGGGCGGATCGCTGACGTGACAGTTACGACTAGTGTATTCTAAAGTATCTATATCAATATTTAGAGTAACCTCTACTTTAGTTCCTACTAAATAAAGATGGTTACACTATTAGATTCAAAATATGCTTGAAAAAAAGCATGAAGATTTTCTTTTACTTGAATGAGGTCGTAAATGCCATCATGATTGAAATGAAAAAGTTTCAAACAACAATAGTATAAGAAGCAAGTAGAAGTCATAGAAGATAAAATTTTTACGTTAGATAATGATAAAGTAGAGAGAAAACTAGTTAGAGAGATGGAGATCTAAACTTCAATATCAAAGACTCAAATTCAATCAAAATCAATTATTATTGATACTAAAGAATGAAATGGGAATCGATTTTAAACAACTGAAGATGAAGCAAATTTTTTGCTTCAAGTAGGAAAATCATGTTATTTGATATCATACAGTGAAAGTAAAGAGATGGAGATTTTTGAATTTTGAATCACGAAGATGAATAAACATTTATTCTTCTTTCATGTTTATTCACGTAATCCATCTTAAGAGTTTGTTACATATTATTCAAAATCAAATGATGGAAAACATAATGAAATATATGATATTATGTATTATTTTATCAAAATTATAATTTTTGATAAAACTATTGAACTAATTAAGATTGAGAGTAAATTCAATCTAACTTATGTGTTGACCAGAGTTCTTTCTATGAAGATTATTATAAAACATTAATCTATTATGCTAGTTTTGCATGGTTACATAAGTAAAGCTTAGAAGCAATATATATATATATATATATATTCCATTTTGTTTTGGCTACTATTTACTTCTTGTTATCTAGAGTTTATGTAGAGTTCTATGCTAAAATTTTTTTATAGAGTGTAATTTTAGAAAAAAATTATAAGTTATAAAGATTACAATTCTTACAATTTGAGCTAAAGGGGAGGATTTTAGTAATTAACTCAGATCTTTTGGTATCTCATGTTAAAAAGATTGGAATTTAGATTCAATTAAACTCCAAACCTCAAACCCTATAACACTGGGCAGTATTAAAATGAGCTAAAAAAAAGATATAAGATGACAATATTTAGGTTTTATTATTTAAGCCTGAGGTGTTCCGTGGACTTAGGGCCAAGTCACACGACCGACAGGTGGCATCAAACTCTTGGCTAGAAGAAAACCAGGTCTTCATAGGCCTCAGTTGGCCAGCTAGAGACAATTCCATAACCTCTACCACACTGCCGGTAGTGCCTTTGGAGTGAAAAGGGAGAAATGTAACGGGAAGAAGTCATTGGAGTAGTAACCCTAGAAGGCGCGAAAGTACGCGTGGAGTCTATATATTCCGGAAAAACCAGATTTCCAGCGGAAGTGCATGGTAGTTTGGAGTAGTCGATTTCTTTGCCATCTAGGATACGTCAAATTGCCGCTCCTTCCTGTGTGGTAAAGGGTGCAGCTGGTTTGCCAAGGACATGCTAGGATTCATTGCCGCTGCCGGTCGTGTGGTTTGGCCGTTAGTCTGCATGTATGAATCAGATGTGTCCGTGAGTTACAATCTCTACTCAAATTGGAATTTCCATCCAAGATGATTAAGAATTTGCTGTATGCCTTATGGTTTACTAGCTTAATATAATGCATAGTCAAGATATGAGATGAGGGATATCATAAGTATAAGTCTTTGAAGACTTATCAAATTTTTTCCTATAATGTAGAATGCCTCATTTGAACATGTAATGGAAAAATAAAAAATTGGATGAAAATATGTGAAAAGCCAAGTAAGAAAATTGGATATTCCAACAGAAATTGCAATGATGTCATGCATGATTAATTCTAGGGCCGTGGAGATGATGTAATACCGTATGGATCTTTACAATAGTCAAGCATATGCACAAAACAACAAATAAAGACCGTGCATGCAAGGTGTCCAACAAAATGATCTTTGACTTAAAGAAACATTCATGGATGGCAATATATATTAAAGAATTTCAGTTGCATCTCGGATTTCATATGATTTTTCTTCTCAAGCCCGTTACAATGACCGCCTTTGATTGAGTTCATGTGGATTACAGGTTCAGGTTTAGCACCCACATTGATCGTTCTGGTGCTTTTGGCATTAGCTTCGGGTGGGTATTTTGGATGTTTGACTTGTAATGTGTTTTTCAGCCTTTTGACCAAGTGGGTCCCAGGGCTCATCAAATTACCATCTAGTCATAATTTATCGATATATAAGGCTTCTCACGCTCTTGAACATAAATTACTTCCTCTTAATTTATGCCCCGGGGCACGGTAATAAACTGGTGAGCATGGTAGCGGATTATATTCTACCCAAGTTATCCTTACGTGGTGCGGTGCTCAATCTCACTACTCTCACGGAGCTTGATCCTCGAGGAGACTTGGGTAAAGAAGAGAGTACAAATCCTTGAGAAAGCGAACAGATAACTGGTCCTGGTCCAAGGGATGGCACGGCTCGGCTAATGGCTAGCCGATAAATATTGCCACCGCTATCCGAAGCCGAAAACGAACCGTAAACTCGGACTGAATTTACGTTTTCAGTCGATTATTTGATCAGATTTCGGCCGAGTATTTCGGTTAAATGCATTTTCGGCCGATTAGACGACGGCTTGCCGGCTAAATTTGAGGCCCCAGCCGGCTAGCTGAAAGTTAGCAGGCTACGTGCCCATGCCTAAAACTGGTCCTGGTCAAGTTCTAGATCTTTGATGTTCCCCTGCTGATCTTGATCGTTCCTCGCATTTCTGCTTACCATTGTGACGGAGTTCAATCTCCTCACCGCAAGATTCGAAACCTGCTGTCACTCTTCGCGGTATATTCCGGAAACCACCTCTTTGTTGATCCATGACAAAACCCGATTTTGGGTTGAACTGGGTACACATCTATTCGAATCTTCAGAAAATTGTGTTTCCGAATTGTCTGCTCATGACTCTGGTTCCAAAAGGGCATCGAGCAAGTTGTGGTCACTACTTGCTCGATGCTTACGTGGTGCCGGAAGGGCTGACAGATGGTGGTCGCTAGAGTTTGGGGACATGAGGAGATAAAACAGGTTCGCCTGAGGCAAGGTCTGGGAGTGTATCTCCGTGACATCAGACATGATCATGGATGCAATTCATTGTCATGTCTGATGTCTACCTTTTTACACATCTGTATTGGATTCCTTCCATGTTTGCCCGGAGGTATTTTGCAGTTCTACCCCATGTATTATTGCAATATTTCGAGCAGCCCCCTCTTAACTTCCACGAATTCGAAGGTCTCGCTGCTACCATGTTTTCAAGCACATATGATTTGCTCGTGACTGAAGGATGCTGCAGAACCGTCGAGGTATGCAGGTTTTTTTCTCAGCGGATCTCCCCGATTCTGTGAGCGGTTTCCTGAGTGTAAATTTCGTGCAGTGCGTCCTGCTGCTCAGTAGAAAAGTAGCCATTAGTCGAAAACAACATTCGTTTCTCCGAGGGATTATGTAGACTTCCCGCCGCACTGCAGTGGCATGGACTGGACGTTTTCTCGGCACATGGCGTTGACGACCACGGGTCGTTTCCTCCGCATGGACATCTCAACTTCCATTTTTCTGTGCCATTGTGATGCTAGTGAGGCTAGCCCCATGTTAGCCATCTCGCTTCATCCAAGTACTACTTGATGGGGTCTTCCCATCCCTTTCGGTATGATGCTCCGTGTCCCCTTTTATATCCATGCCTTCGAGTGCAAAGACGGTCCAGCAAGCACGGAAGGAGTGGGACATTCTGCAAAACATGCACATCTTGCCCGACTACCACTGAATCGTGGCATCCATAAGTAACACGTTGTTTACGAGGATGCACAACGTGTTAACCCTGAGGGACGAGACAAAGGTCCAGGTTCGCTCTCGTTCTTCTTTTACGGAATGAGGTTCATATGTAAATCATATGTATTCTGTTCCCTTGACCGAACCACCAAACCATCGTAACATATGATGCATGAAAAATATATCTTTTTTCCTCGTTGGGATATAAATACACTTGTATACCATTAGGCCTGTTATTTTCTTATTTGAATGCCATTTCCTTTACAAAAGCTTATGACATGGCAGCAGCAAAGTATTCGTGAAATGTTGCTTCCATCCAAATGTTCAAGAGCAGAAGTGACTTTCATTATTCTTTATTTGTTTCTGAAAGGTGGCGGAGTGGTCACCCGTTAACTGTGACACATGAAACATGAAGAATAGACTGGGTCCTCAACAACGATGAGGTTTCTTGTGATTGATCGAGAAGGGTAGCTTCCAGAGACCGCGCATCGACAAGAAACAGCGGGAACATAGAATCTGGAGATCTTGTTGAGAGCATGCAGAGTGCAAATGGAGGTGTAAGTTGTTGGTGAGTCATTTCCCACAAGCTTGGCCCGAAGATGCTGATGTTAGTGACCGACATGATCTATATTTATCGGGTCACCTGCCTTTCCTGGTCAGGCCTCATGTTCGGATCAAGTGCACCAATATGGGGATTAGAGTGTCCATACTGCTACACCCCTGGAAGGATGGACATGAAGTGCAGGAAGTCCGGGGATCAATGTTGGATGATGCATGTCAATACGAGACAAAACTCTACGCGTTCTTCAGATCTGGATCATTCCAATGATTCCAAACACACCTTCTACTATTGCGCAAGTTTATCACCTCAAACTCTTCATGTGTTGAAAGCCCGCCGCGCTTGGTACATGTATCACGGATGCTCGCAAGAAACATCCATGACCTTTGTTCTCTTGTTAGACCTCCTCATTGACGTCATGTATCTCCACCACATTCAGCATCTTCAGTACGGATATTATAGGTATGTATAATAACATGAATAATATATATGATAATAATAATATCATAGATCTAAGACTGTTATACGTGATCTAAAAAGTAATCATACATAAAAAATAATAATAAGCTACAGTTTCTCAGCTTTTGTGCTTTATGTACTAGTAATTGCTCGAGAAATGAAATAAAAGCAAAGTTAGAATCAACAATCGATTCGCTCTGACCTGCAGCTTCAATTTTGAGAGGGTCTAGGTTCGCAGCAGCTGCAAGAATACCTATAATGGACCTTCTATGCGCTGCACAAGAAGACTTATGCCCTCCTTTTCTTTCTATGGCACATTCTACACTTGTGCATTCGTTGGACACTGCATCGTTTCTCTGATGTTAGCAAAATATGCTGTTTTCCCAAAAGGGGACAAGGAAAGCTGGACTTGAGAAATTTGTGATTTCACGACACGAACAGAGAGCTGCGAAACCAAATGTCCAGTCAAATTACAGTCAATGAGTCGAGATGAGTTCCGCCGATTGGATTGACCTGAGCTTATACGAGCCTTTTTATAATATATATCTCGTTCGCATGTGATAATCAACTTCGAACTTTGCGACATAAACCGCTTGTAAACTGCAAGCTTCATCGGAAAGAGCGAAGTGTCCGTCTGCTGCAATTGAGGCTCAAAATGTTGTATTACCTCACTACTTGTTAAAACTTGTTGGCTCTAGAACTCGTGAGTTGGGAGACACTCCTGGACATGTTTGATTGTAATAAATCGATTGGTTGGGAAGTTTCGTCATCATCTTCCGAACTGTGGAATGGTGTCCAAAGTCATTCACATATCGGTCACCATCACCAACCTGGCTGTTGCGTCTTCGGAGGTCATATGTTTTTGGTGTAAAGACACAAAACCAAAAACGACGGCTTTCGTTCTCATCTAAACTGTATGATGTAAACATCATTTTAAGGCAGAAACGTATCAAATGTGGTGTACATAAGTGATGAATACTACCTAGACATTTTATTTTTTGCTGTCCTTATGAATTTAGTCTCCTCTGACCTCCTACGTTGAACGAACTGAAGCAACAACTTCCTTGCCTCACTGCACTTCACTCACGACAAGTTTTTGAATTTCCCGATACAGAACATAGTTTGGATCAGATATTTGGATTCAAAGACATTTGAGATCTCGAACATACTCTGCCAGGTCTAGTATTAATGCATTGTTGATTGAGCTCAATCCTCTGGCTTGAGTGTAACCACAATGGATGGTATAACACCGGCCTTTCAAGACTCGTGAAGTCGTATTATCGTGCTTGCAGGAAGTCTACGAGTAGTAGTAATAATTTCCCAAGGGTAGCGTAGCATCATTCTAGAGCGTGACGAAGAGCTACAAACATGTTCTGCCTCTTCGAAGATGATATACTACAACACCATTTACTCTAGCGGAACGTGAAGCAGATTGTTTTGCTAATTTGAAGATTGGGATGGAGCACGGAGAAGTGATGGAAGGAACGAAAGGTCGATGCAGTGCATAGAGAATGCCATGGGATTCTTGCGGAGGAGGTGGAGCGCTGGAGAGTGTGAACTTCAGAACCCGGTTCCACTATTTTAAGCTGGGAGGACAAAAGGTTACCATTCTTGCGGCGGGTTGGACTGGTAACACTTTGCGGCAAGGCGATTGGGATATGGAGCAACTGTGAGGATTTTGTGAGCAGTTCAGTTCAGTTCGTGCGCTTTCTACTGTAGGATGAAGTTGGCCCATCTTGTCCTGGTGCTCGGCATGATGCGACGAGGTGGAACTCGGATCAATGTGAATGTAGATGGACTTTAGGACAAGGGCACATTGATGCGAGCGACTGCTGTCTGTCTGGGAGGTTCGTTGGAGAGTAAATGCGCCCTAAATTCGAATTTCTAACGACATGCCCCGAGCTAGAGAGGGATGAAATTATGACGTATGGTTATGGATGGATGGATCGGAAGGACTTAGCAGCATTACATCCACATTGCACTTGTGGGGTTGTTGACCCATCTCCGTCGTGAAGTCATGCAAACGGGACACCAGCTGGAATTCCAATTGCACGAAGCTCGAGAGAAAAGCAACGAAGGCGATAGGAAAGCCAAAGGCCAGGCAAGAAGGGCAGGGCCATCTTTTTCTGCTGCGAGAGTCCGTCACATGGTACGACGCTGAGCTCTGCGGCAGCAGCAGATGACATGAGTCGTCAAATATTGAATCTGGCTCGTCTTTAATTTCCGCCTGCCCACCTGGTCTGCTCTAGTCTAGTAGCCTCTGCTCCCTCTGGAGTCTGGTCCGGTCTGGTCCCATAGATCATCAACTACGGGGCTCCTGCGGCTGCTGCTAAGGATTCGGACCTCTGGCCACTAGCGTCCTCGTCCTCCGTCACTGGACACCGAGCAGACCTTCCCAGAGCGGCACCTGCTCTCATTCTCCAGCACTCTCTACTGCCTCAACTATGGCGCCGTTTTGTAGGGTGCGCAGTGGACTATCTGCCTGATATCTCTGATGACCGGGCCGCTGTCGTTTTTACTAGCAGCAGGCACTGCTTCTGAGCCATATGCTTGCTTGAAGGGTGGGTAGAGCGAGTCCTTGTCTGGTGACAAGGTCCGGTGTTCTCCCCCTGGATCATGCCGCTGTTTAATTTTGCTTTTCTTACTGCTACTGCTGCTACTGCTGCGGATTTGTCCTTCGCGATGGCACCAATTCTTAGGGCACATGGTCCTTAAGGATTGCCTTCTTCTTCTCTTCTTTCTGCCTTTGGTCATTTCTTCTGGCGCACGGTCGGTCGGTCGATGGATCGGATTTCTCTATCGATCGACTAGTCCGTCTGTCCGTCTGCCTGTCTGCGTGCCGGTCTGCGTGATCGTCCTGGCCTGTTGGCTTGGCCGAGTCAACATCTTCCCAACCCGTGCATCTGTTCTGTTGAAGAAGAGGGCGAGGGCGAGGAGGAGAGAGATCTAGAGGAGGGAGAACACTTGCCCGGAAATTGTGTAGCAATGCTTCCGTCGCAGTGAGGGAGGGAGGGAAGGAGCGAGTGAGCGAGTGAGCGAGCGAGTGAGTCAACGACTGTCAACCTCGTGTGCCTTAAGAGCGAGAGATGCTTTGCAGGTGGATCAAAAGCAAAAACATCGTCGTCGTCTCTTCGGTAGCTTTCGGAATCGATGAAGAACGAGGAGAGAGAGGGAGAGAGAGATTTATATACGTAGAGAGACATAGACAGGCCGAGGTAGTGATCGATTGAGTGAGTGCGTTCGGTTTGCGAGAGAGGCGGACGGGGAGTTAGCGAGCGAGCGAGCGGGCGAGCGACTCGTCGGTTGATTTGTTTTGTTTGTTGACTGACCGCGCAGCTCTTAAACAATGCCCAGATTGAGAAGCAGATTGAGAAGCGGATTGAGAGAGGGATCGAGAGAAGAGAAGGCTCGCCAGTGCGAGGACACTCGGACGAAGAAGACAGGAATTCACAGTGGCTAACTCGTGCGGCTTCCGCTGCTGCTTCGGTCGAGTCATCCCATCCCCCGGACGCATCTTCCCACCGCATCTCGCAGTCCATCCGAGTGTGTAGGAGCGATTCTTACCGAGCCGGGAGAGGGAAGCGCAAGCGAGCCTTGAAAGAAAACATCGACCCTCTTCGGTCAGATCCCGACACCGAATTTCCACCCGATCAGCACGGGAGCCTGGGGCAGAGCAGAGCTTAGCAGGGCAGGGCAGGGCATTGCAGAGCAGGGCAGGAGGAGGTGGAGGAGGAGCAGGAAGAAGAAGAAGACGACGAGTAGAATAGACTAGAATAGAGTAGAGAAGAGAAGCAAGGCAAAGCACGATCTCGAAGAGCAGCATGTCAGTGGATTCGCAAGCCGTGCTCAATTGAAGGCAGCAGCCAGTTCCGGTGGGTGCCGCGATGTCCTGACAGGAGACGAGGAGGTCCGAAATGGCGTAGCGAATTGAAACAGAGCAGAATTGAAACAGCAGCAGCTGCGGAGCGAGCCCGTCGACGAGAGGAGAAGCAGAATCAGAATCAGAATCAGAAGGCAGGGCGCCATGTTCATCGCGCATTTCGTGTCGTGGAAGGAGAGGGTGCGCAAGTACAGGAAGTCGATGGCGAAGCGGAGCAGGCTGCTGAAGACGAGGGTGCGCGAGCTCGGGGACACGGTCATGACGCGACTGCTGCTCGAGAGCTCGGCCGGCGCGGCGCTTGGGAACGGGGAGCGTGACGGAGGAGAGTCGCGCGCGACGGGCGACGGCGACATGGACTCGGCGCTCTGGGGCCGACTGCCGGACGACATCCTGGAAAGCGTGCTGGCCATGTTGCCGTTCGACGACCGCGTCAGCATGCGCTACGTGTGCCGTCAGTGGAACGCGGTCATAACGTCGCGCGGTTTGTGCCCGCCGGACCAAAACCCGCAGCTGCTGTGCAACATGGCGGGCGCCTTCTCGACCTACAACCAGGCCAAGGCCAAGTGGACGGAGCGGTCGCTGAGCTTCGTCGCGAACCACCGCGACTTGTACCTGGCGACGTCCGACGGCGGGCTGCTGTGCTTCCAGAACCGCGAGACCGGCGCGCTGCTGGTGTGCAACCCGGCCGGGCGGTCGTCGCGCGAGCTGCCGCCGCCGCTCTTCGAGGTGTGCATGGACGCGGAGACGGGCGAGGGCCGGTCGCTGGACATGATCAACATCGGGCACGTGCGGTTTCTGGCCGCGCGGTCGCGCAGTTGGAACGCGCGCATGACCAAGTGCGTGGTGGGAATGAGCTTCGACCGGGTTCGGCAGAGCTACCGCGTGGTGGTAGCCAGCATGCTCACCAAGCGCCCGCAGACGCAGGTCTACGACTTCGCCACCGACTCGTGGTACATCGGCGCCGACCCGCCGCCCACCGTGACGTGGTTCCGGCGCTCGCCCGTGGCCAGCGGCAACTGCCTCTTCTGCGTGGTGCGCGGACTGCGCGACGGCAACAGCGAGGACGCCTTGGTCTGGAGCGTGATCAAGTACGACCTGGAGCGCGACGCCTGGTGCGACATCCCGATGCCGCGCCACCGCATCCGCGACAGCATCTTCGCCATCGAGCTGGCCGAGCACCGGGGCCGCGTGCGCATGTTCCTGCGCCTCGTGCACTCGCTCATCTTCCACTGCTGGGAGCTCAATGCCGACGGCGCCTCGTGGCTGCCCCTCTCGGCGCTGCAGAACGAGGTCAACGAGCGGCTCGCTGGCACTAGGTACTGGGATTTGTGCTTAGCCGGGGGCAATTTGATTTACTTGATGCTTGTCAATGTGTGGGATGACGAAATCCTCCGCTTCGTCCAGTGCTACGACCTGACCACCAAGCTATGGAGTCGCCTGCCTCACATCGTGCCCCTCAACAGCTACGACTGCCAAATGTGCCTCTTCCAGCCCTCCCTCACGGTCGCCGCGTGATCCATTCAATTTTCCTCCCTTTCTCCCCCCCTAGGTCTCAGTTATACATAGAAATGCGAATCGACGTCCAATCCATTGTCCATATGTGGGAAGCTGTCCGTTCTGTTCACATTATAAAAGCACTACATTGAATCATGTGGATTTCAACACTTTCTGAGTACGGAGCATCGCTTGGGACTCGTGCATGTCTGTTTTCTTCTTACCCGAGACCTCATCACCTTCCGTTCGACGCATGAATGAATGAATGACTGACCGACCGACTGCCTCACTAGCCGATGGCATTGTTTCTCTGGAGCGTCCTCTTCGTGTCCGGTACCCTCAGACTCATCCGAAAGTCCACATGGAAACTCTAGTGGGGTGTGTTGTCTCGCTTTCCTCTTGACGTGATTTGTGGCCTTTGGGGGTTTGGTCTGTTTCTGTTTTCATTGTTTTCCTCTACTGCTCAGGGATTGCGGCCAAACCTCGGAATATGTCAAGGGCTGTGTAGTGTGTACCGTTTTGCCTGTCTTGACGAGCGTGACCGACTGGGCCGTTCGATCCAGCTGAGTGGGGCCGGCATACGGTACCAGACATCGTTACTTCACACAGCCTCGTGTTTGAAGAATTGTCACAATTGGCACTCGATGCAATTGCTGTTAGGTTGGCCTGTTGTCGTGTGAATCTGGTGTCATAAGTTCATGTTCTTTGTGCAATTTAGGTCAGGCTTCTCTGTTCTGTGCTCGAATGCATGTTCCCGTCGTAGGAGGGCACTTTATGACAAATGTGTTTCCAACACATTTCTTTCTCTCGCGTTCGCTCTCTGGTCGTTGCATATCTGGTCACCAGAATTCGATCAAATTCTGACATTGACTTGTCTCAATATCCTTAGTGTTTTCCAGCAAGCCAATTGTGCCAAACACGAACTAGACCTTTGCAGTGGCGGACATCAGAGTCGGTGAGAATATTTCTGTTTTCATGTGACGGTACCGAATCCTTCTGGTGAGAAATGATTTGCGTTTTGTGTGTGAGTAACGGTGGCATGGATTTGATGTGAAGTCAGAGAAGAGTGGCCTTGTGCCTCTCTGTTACAGGGGAATGGATCCGATTTCCGAGGCCACCACGTCTCTGATATCGTACCCCAGCAACGCCCAGGAGCATGTGCAAGAGGAAGCTACATCTTCTTCTCCCTCGTGGCAGTTTTTGCACGAGGACCTCATAGTCGAAGTGCTGGCACGTTTACCGTTTCTGAGCCTCATCCGATGCCGACGGGTGTGCAAGAAGTGGAACTCCGTGATCACCTCAGCGGGCTTTTCCGACCATCACCAGTTCACCCCGAAGTGCGTGCCCGTGTACTTCAACGCCTGGGATGGAACGTTTACAGTCTACAATTCAGTGCTCAACTCTTGGTACAGACACTCGCTGGCGTTTTTACAATTACAGGTCTACGCAAGCTCCCCGGCTTTGTGTGAATCTCTGTCCTTGGCGGCCTCGGGGGGAGGGCTTCTGCTGTTTGATACCGCAACCTTCGGGCAGTATTTTTTGTGCAACCCTGTGACCAAGAAATGGAGAGAATTGAAGCTGCCCCGCAAGGACTGGCGGGGAAACCACATGCCAGCTCCGCCATGGATCAGAAGAGGGAGGTTGCATCAGGATGTGGTGTCTGGAAGAAGGATGCTGGTCGGTATCGTGTGCGGAAATTACGATGTGAATTATAAGCTCGTGTTTGCAGGTTTGTACGCAGGGTCCTTGTGGACTACTCTGGTTTACGATTCTCGGACATTCAGTTGGAGCAGAGGTGCCCGGATTCCGATCGAAGGTACGGATTGTGCGTTTGCAGGGAGAAGTATGTGCTGCAATGGCTTTTTGTACTGCTTGATCAGGGGAGATGGCGGTGATCTGAATCATTACAGGGTTATGAAGTATGACTTGGATCAGAAAATCTGGCGTCAGTTCTGGATTCCAAGGTATTTTGGGCCGTTTCTTGAGCTTTTAGAGCACCAGGAGAGTATCCTGTTGATTGTTAGAGAGCCGGCACGAACGCCGCTTGGGTCCAACACGTTTTACAAACTCCAAGAGTGGAACCATGATGATGCCACTTGGCTGATTGTTCTGGAGGATTTGCCATCGGTTGTCAATGGATTGGGCCAACCTTTATGCACGAAGTTTGTGTCAGGGTTCCATAGATGTGGGCATGTCGGAAATGGGGACTTGATCTATGAAGTCGGATTTTACCGCGAGGAGCAAGAGAAGGGCTGGAGAGTCCTTCTCTACCACCATGCAGAAAATTACTGCTTTTGGTTGCCTGATTATGATGTGGACAAGCGTCATGCAAGCTGGCATGGCTGGTCCAAATTTCCTCTCGGATTTTATTCGTTCCAACCTTCCTTGCGGCTTCGAGTGTGAAACAATCAGCTGCTGGTACACAACGAATTCAGCTAACGATGCACGGTAACGAAAGAAAGCCATCTGCTTCATTCACTGGGCTTTGGGATTCCATCATAGTGCTCCCAACTCAGGCTACTTCCTCTTGCACTCGCTGTGATGATTTTCTCAATTTGGACATTTTTCATGCTTGCAGTTTCAGTTGTACGGTTTACCCTGTTGTTGAGCTGAGTAATTGATCAACAGATGTCTGATACACCAATGTTAACGATTGATCGTGGGTTGCACATGAACTGATTGCTTCATGACTTCTTACTGGACCAGAAGTATAACTTGAGAGCACTTTCTAGGTGGGATTGCCTAACACTGACGGTGATAGGCTTCTCAAAATTTTTCAACTCGGAATTCTGTATTTGAGAGGTTCTTTGGGATTTTTTTCTCCGTCAGAAAACGAATTCTGGCGGGTAGTAAAAGCCATGCGCGGCCGATGAAATCTGCTAAATATGATTAACGCAAAGTTCATGCTTCCTATCATACCTAATTTTTTATCCTAAGAGTGAGAAAAGAGACTTCTCTCCTGGTTGACTAGTATTAGTCGTTATTTTGGTAATTTCATCCATGTGACCCACACAGATTTTGAAGAAAATTACACTATCTGTTCGGTTTAACATGTACTGATTCCTCTCTGTTATTACATCTCATGTTTTCGTTGCTAACTCTGTTCTTTCCATCGTACATGAGAAAATGGTGACGTAGAAACCTCTTGTTGTAAAACAGTACACTAATTGTTGAAACTCTGGAGATTCACAGTGTAGAGGGAGTATCGACAGTGGTGATAATCAGTAATTTCAATCTGACGTCAACAGACATGATATATGGCAGGTAATGGGTTTTTCTTGGTAGCAATGAGAAGTTCCACGGTGGGTGTTCCCACTCACTGCTCAAATTGCTCTTTCGCCTGGCGGGCGTTCGCGTGACGCCGTAACCGTAGCTAAATAGAACAATCTTGATCAATTTTCCTAGTTTGGAACTTTCTTTACCCAATACTTTGAGAAACCGTGAGGTTACAGCAACACTCTGTGCACCCTTACACCATTGATTTGCAATCTACATAAGCTAGACTTTGAATTGCAATCACATTTGAGGTTTGCTATGCGCCAACCTTATACATCTGATCAGTGGCCAAGTCAATAAGTGGGCTGCTTGCTAGTCACGATGGTGTAGAGATTCATTGTAGAGAAAACATCTGCAGCACTTGGAGAAGGGATTTCGTCCGCTGTGAAGTCAGGACCATGAATTTTAAAAGATGTCAAAAGCTCCATAGTCAAAAGGGAATGCTTGGAGCGAGGTATAGAAATGGTCCTCGAAACTTGGCTCTAAAATCTCATATAAGCTAATATAAAAGAAGTGGGGAATAAACGTAAACACGGAAAACCTCTACATCTGTACACAAGGTTTGCACGATACAATTACATGATATTTCACCTCAAGATTAGTTTGCCTGCCGAAGGCTTCTACTCATGTCAAGAGATATCCGACAATCAGCTGTGAGCAAATTCAGATCAGAACACACATAAGGATCATGGGAATCGATTTAACCACTACACGCTCCAATACAAGCGATCAAATCCAAAAGTTGTAGCAAATTGCGTGAAACGGAAATGAATTTGTCTAACGCTAACTCACAGAACAATGCAAAAATCCAATCGCTTGGATAGAAAATTCACAGTACACTTGCGGAGACTTGGTTCCGATAGGCTCGGTGACAATTATCATCGTAAACTCTTTGCATGGGTCTACAAACTTCACTAGATTTTTGTGTTTCACTTTACACTGCACGTCTTCTTCCGGACAAATCGAGATATCTTTTTAGCCTACTCCTTTTGGCAGTCTCAGGAGGTTGCAAATTTTTTTTACTATGACATTTTGGTCTAAATACTTGCAGTCGTAAACTTTTCCATGTGCACATATAACTGAACATTCCTTCTCGACACCACAGACCTAAAAGACCACGAGAATCTGCTGTCTTGCAGTGCCAGAGGCTTTTATCATCGCCTTTCATCATCGCCCACTTCTGTGATACTATCACCTCAAACCTAATCTCGCCTCAATTTTTACCTCGTAGATAGCACCAAACAAGCTAACGAGACCTTCAGCTACTCGTCCTCCGCAACGATAATGCCAGACACAACTCCCCCTCGCTTCCTCATCATAACATCATACTTCTTGCAGTACTTCCTTGTTGTCTTTGAACTAACGCTGTAGCAGGGCAAGACATACGTCCACTTCTTTTTCATGAAGAACATGTCTCGATACTTCTAGATGATTCCCCATCTTCTCGAGACATTGCAAGCAATAAAGTTTACTCAAAGTTGTTAAGGATTCCAATTCTACACCACACACTCCTTTCTCTCCTAATTCACCTTTATGATCCTTTGTCTTAGAAATTTCTTCAATGCTCTTCATTTTGTGGTCACCAGGCCTATCTAAATAAGTCAAATACTGAACTTGAGAGTCCTATGCCGTATTTCGTTTCCAGAAAGTTACGTATTTCCAACAAAAAATTATGTGTTATCTAGGTGGCTTTGCTAGAGAAACTAAAATTTTGCGGTGACCGTTTGTGACAATTTCTTTGTTGATCTCGGTAGCTTTACTAGAGATACCACCGTAGTTACTTAGCTAAAACTTTGTGCTGAACGTTTGTGATAATTTTTTTGTTGATCTCGGTGGCTTTACTAGAGAAACTAACAGAGTTACTCAACTAAAACTTTGAGGTGACATTCGATGAGTTCAACCAGGCAAAATCTAGTATTTTGTCTCCTTGCTTAACTCAATAATTTTTAGTTTAAAAAACACGAGAAATTATTCAAATATTTCTAAAATATCAACAACGTCTCAAACTCTCTTGGGAACAAAAGGACATAGATTAAATAATGGAAGAACACAAACAACTTTTGGATTTTGTGAAACGAGAACACTACGAAGTTGATATTTTAGGTTCACAAAAATCTATTAATTGAACAGTCTGATTCCAGGCATTAAGAATAGATTTCTTCAACTCATGCAGTTTTTCGGAGTATTAGTTTGACCATTTTTGAACATTGCAATGGTGTGAAGAGGGAATTCTCAGTGTTGAAATGGGAATATTTTATTCACAGTTAAATCTCACAAATCTCTTTCTTTAGCTCATTTTGCCCCTTTCCTAGGCTACAACGTACTTTCAAAATTACTATTACCTCTATCCACCAATGAAGATCGTTGGTGGATAGAGGTAATATTAATTTTGAAAGTACTTTGAAAGAAGGTTCTCCACCTCGAATATCACTCGTTAGTGGCGTTTCAGATCTCCATTGCTAGTACTTTTCTTCCCTCTCCCTCTGCCGCCTCCTCAATCACAAATATCACTCCTCCGCTCGGAAGACTTTGCACTTCCATTCTCCTCTTCATCTTACTTTCTCGATGGATGAATGTGTTCAATCCATTCTCTGCAAACTATTCCTCTTTGATTTAATTTTTCTTTGTCTTTGTGCCTACTCTTATCTTCACCTACCTCTACATTTTCATCTGCGTCATAAGTTTGTATAGCTTTATTGGAAACTTCAATAGCAGTCATTTTATCTTTCTGCTCTGCGACTCCTTCTTCATCTTTTTGTTTGACTTTGATGTTAGCTTCACGCTCGCTACTCCTATCAACCATTGATTGTTTTGTACCAACCTTCTTGTTTCCAACTCTTTCTAATAGCCTGGATTTGCTCTAACGCTATAAATCCAGATGCACTCTTGCTCTGCCGCGTACTTCTTACATCGTCTTATCATTTTTTAAATATATGTTTTCTACAACTTGTTTGATTTTCACATTCATTTCATCAAGACTGCAAATTCTCAAATAATGCATAAGCCCAGCCACCATATTAGTTGTTAGGACATCTTCAATCACATCATTCACTTGTAATCACATCGCCAAAATATTTGTAGCATAAGTTTTTGAACATTTCACAATCCATCACTTTTGAAGATTTCTTGCTGTAACTATTAAAACTATGTTCTATGGGAATCTTATTTCACTCATCATCTATCCTAGCCGCATCTTCTATGATCCACTTCTTGAAACTAACAAGTCTTCTATGATCCACTGCTTCAACCTCACAAGTACTTGTTATACTAAAAATGTGAGACACTTCACATGCATATACATCAAGCAAGATAAACAAGCTAGAAGTATTCTGGCAGCAGTAGCAACCTGGACATGAATTGAATGTCTGCTAAAGACAAATGTTTTGTGAATATATTCGCTCAAAAAACTTGTCGGATTATCTTCCCGGATTATATTCATAAAGCGGTCAATCTTATGAGAAAAACGGGAGTTGCTCGTGAATGGATGTCTTGTTGTCTGCTCGTACTTTGATTCTTCTTGTTTCAAAATCAGTGCCAACGAACGAAGCAAACAAGATTTGAAAGCATGATGATTGCTTCCCATTCGCCTCATCAAACTTAGCATCTTGTGCATTACATCCTCATTACTACTACCGCTAGCCTCAACGACATCTTCTCCTTTTGAGAAAATTACTTGACTCAACCCTCTTGATGAAAGCCAACAGGTTTCAATTTATCTGATGTGACCCTGGTCGACGACCATGTAGATCACAGTTAGCCACATTTCAATAAAAGTTCTTATAACACGCTAATTTGCTCTTTAGTGTGAAAATTGTCTGCCACTGTCGGGCTAGAGTATTTAAGCTACTCTTTCGTAGCCATCTATAAGAAAGTGATGCGCATCATGAGTCTGAAGTACTCTCAATATGATCTTGCCGGTAGTTCATCTTACTACCTGAAATAATCCCATATGGTATTGGAACATTCACTGATGTTAGGTTGCACTGTCGATGAGGTGCCATTGGGTAAAATGAAACTTGTTAGATCTCATCAAGTGTTTTCAGTTTTCTGGATTATCATCAAGTAATTTTCTCTCTCCTCCTCCAACACGCCCATTTATTTTTCCATCAGACTCATCAGATAAAACTTGAGAAATCATGAGCCACAAACGTTGAACTTCTTGTAACAATTTTAAATTATTCTTGGATTGATTTTTTTCCGTTGCGGTAACAGAAAATATCTTTCATTCAAGAATCATCTTGAGTACCAAAATCCATCCTGATCATGCTTCTTTGAGCTAGAGAACTTCCTATTTCAAACAATTATGTTATTGCTGGACAAAAAACACTTAATATTATTCTATCTAAACTATGAAGATTTTAATTCTTTATTCTACTTCTAACAACTCAGAACACAACTAATTAATAACTTTTGTTATTTCTAAATTTTTTTTTAAATGTGATCACAAAATTGCTCTCAAGTGTGAGATCTTTATAATTGTTAGCTTTCATTATTTCTCAAATTAAATTGTTCACAAAATAATATTTTAAAATAACTAGAAATTCGATAGTTTATATAATCAATAGGTATAAAATTGTCTTGAATATAATTTTCATACTATAACTTGTAATTGAATAGAAATTTTAGAAATTTTTTTAATAAAAAAATTAATTAATTTTTTATTTAAAAAAATTTGATAACACTTATTTTATTGTTATATTCAAGAAAAATAAAAAAAATTCAATTTTTTTGA